AGAAATATGACAAAAAAAGTATCCGTAGGAAGAAGTCGGAGCAACTTTTTTAATGTGACTTAAGCCATCAAAAGCTGACATGTAAAATTTAGTCTTTAAATCCCTTAAACAGATTCGAGAGGTAACTTGAAGAATAAAAAAATATAAAATGTTGGAGCAAATTTCCTTAATTCGATTTTAGCCTCTTAAAGGCGATGACATTTCACAGTTGGGCTCTAAATTATAAACAATGAATTTTTGCAGCGAGTTGTTTCGAAATATTTAGTCATTTAATGATCATGAGTTCAATTTCTGTTTATTAAAAACTGAGATTGAAGGTCAAAATTTTAAACTTTCAATCATTTTTTTTTCTGTATTCCTGTGTTACACCAATTTGCAAGTGACTGTTCAAAAGATATTCCTTCCAATAACAGTAAGGAGTAAGTAAACTAACTAAGATTTACTTTAAAACCAAATGCCTGGTCCAAAGGATAACAAAGTGATCCTTTTTTTCAAATGCGGCTTAATTTAAAAGTTTGGTGGACAATACCTAAAAAGTTCGTCCTCAAGAAAGAAACAATTTTACATAAACTAGCAAAATGACAACCCTTGCGGTAGAGAAATTGAAAAGAACTAGCTTTTCAAAGCGAGGACAAAATGAACTCATATAATTTCGACAGACTAGTTTACATTTGAATATCACTAATTTGCTTTCTTGGTTCGCGCTTCGGTTTCGTAAAATCAATGTGGTTTCTGTACAAAATTTCAATTGCATAAATAAGTATATATGTTTTAACTCCATAAATTCTATTAAACTCTTAATCGATAAAGGAAAGCATTCGACAAGAAAGAGGCAATTATTTAAGTGAATTATTTATTGCTCACTAGTCAAAAGGCTTGTGCATCCTCGTTGATATTCGTCCTCTATGTAAATTGTTTTTCAACGATTTTCGAAACAATTATCCAATTTGATTTCTATCGAAATATGAACGTCTACCTTAATCCTTCGTAAAAAGGAATCAATTTAAACTGGTTTAGGTCACGGTAAATTTCGAACCGAAACCAGTTTCTCGAAAGTGCTTGTGACCAGGCATTAGATTTTTAGAACATATGTTACTTCTAAACGGAAACTAAACACAGTTGATGGCACACAGTAAAGGTTGTAATCTAAGATGGCAATGTACTAAATTCTTGTTTTGTGTATGTGCAAACCAAATTTCCTGTTTAATACGGTTCATACCGAAAATGAATTTCCAATTGTATTAGTATGTCAACTTTTCATCTTGGTTTCATTCCGTTGTCAATCGTGAAGTACGATCGTCCGAGTAAGAACAGCCCTGAAAAGGTTTGTTGTTGTCGAAACTAGTGACTTGCTTTACGCAGAAGACATCGGAGTAATCGGAAAATTGTTGACAATTCGAATGTTATAGCTGGGTGGGGTTGTTCATAGCTGGGTTTAGATAACCCACGATTAGTGTGAAATCTGATTTCAGATCTGAAAGGCTTAAGAAGAAATTCAGTATAATTCCTTTTGCCGACAATTTAATGATTGGATAATCTAAAAAGAGAAAATAAAACTATCCCAAGAAGGTTTTGAACAAAGGAAAGGAGAAAATAGGGTTAAAATTTTACCTTGGGTTAATGCTAATCAGCCAACGAACATCTGGGCCCCGGTTTGCAAAACTAAGTGATCGGTTTTGCAGCAAAGTGATTTTTGTACTTAAATGGCGCTCGTCCCTTCATTAGTCAGTTTTGATCAGTTGTAAGGTTTGGTTGTTTTTTTTTTGTCCGTTGGTGACCGCTTTGGTTTTTTCCAAGTCGTTTTTAACGGTGCCGATAGTAGTTTCCAATTTTGAATTGTATTCGGTTCTTCGTCCGGCCGAAGTATTTTGTTCGAGTGCCATCTTAATAAATATCACCTTCCTGCAACATCAACCAGGATACAACTCTGGATGTTGATCGCGACGTTTCGACTGCAATACTGCTATTCTTCATCGCCTGATGAAGACTAGCAGTATTATACTATTATATCTTTGAAGGTGCTTGAGGCAATATTTTCAAACGGCAATACTCACCTGTTGTAGTAGTGACATAAGAGTGCTTTTGTTGTTTGTCTTTACAGGTCGAGTGTCTTCTTTCCTCCAGAGCGCCTATGTTTAGCCTTACGGAAGGCACGTCTTCACTCTACGACAGACAGCGTGGTTTGCTGAAAATTCCACAACTTCTAATGAATGTGGATTAACAACTGCGGCAAATAATTGACTGCACGTCACAGATTTGGCACGGATCCGGAGTTCTGTTTGCACGCTTTGCCAACTTATCAATAATCAAGCTCAATGAAAGGCATTGTGAGTGACGGATTGGCATGTGACAAGAGAAGAAAATTCACAGCTGTTAAATTTTAGAAACTGTTTTGTGACCAGGAAATTACTCTGACACTCGAAAAGAGCTCATTTGAAAGACTGATATCATTAAAAGCAGTAGATCTCGATAATGAATTAGTTGTAATTTGTGAGAATCGTAATTAGCATCAATTCATATTTTGCCGGCACCTATCAAGGACTGGAGGCGAGTGCGAGGAGCGCGGAGAGTTATCGGAACGTGGTAGTAGGGCGAGGCATTCTACGGTCAGCCTTCGTCGTGATAAGTTGTTTGGTTTCGTTTTCCCTCAAATTCATTTAGCTTTTTTATCTCAAATATTGTCATGTTCACATCAGGTTTTACACAGAGCTGTACTCGCATACATCCTTAATTAACTGTTATCTACTTTTGTATATCATGTTATTCATAGGATACCATAAAACCCTGAGGGTGGTGCCACTGCCTTGGTTGGGGGTGCATGTTCCCCTTTCTTTTCACCTGCTGGTATTTAGGGGTTTTCGTGTCCGGCTTTGGTGCATTTAGTTTCTTTCGATCGTAATAAACTTTTGTAAGCATATTGGTGTTAAAAAAACGTTACGGTGGCTCGGTTGGCCAATGCACCCAGATATCAACACCTTTATGCCCGGTTGAGTAGTGGAGGCAAGATAAGAAATGTTTTAGGCCTCATTTTGAAATTTTGTGAATAAATGAATAATTGTTATTTCGTTGTCCTCTTCCGAAGAGAACGCAACAAATAAAACGCAAAGATGATCATGACGCACTGTAATTTACCGGTGAAAAAAAGAAACTAACGCATTATTACTGTATCAGGAAAGAAAGCAAAATTAAAAGCCCTCAAAAGGAATTAAAAGCGCTTTCATTCTATCACACAAGGAGAAAGCAACCCGCACATTGAGTTCCTTTTTATTGACCAAGAGACCAGCCGTACGGTGCGGTAGTCCTAAGATGTTAAGAAATAGCACCGTTTGAAAGGTTGTGAAGGAAGATATTCATTCGTCTTGTCTCGAGCGCGGGACAAAGAAAAACATCTGAGTCCTCATGACGAATCGAACGTCGCACCACTGAGCCACAGAGACACCACCACGAGCTCCGTCATTACAAATTCCATATTTGTCCAGCATACAGCAACGATAAGCAATGTCGAAAAGAGTCATATATATGAACAGAATAAGACAGAGACAAGAAAAAATAAAAATCATTCTCTATCACTTTGCGGAGCTCAAACTTTACCATCCTTCTTATTTGAAAGTTCGAAGCCTTAACCCACGACCATTTCAAGAAACATCCATTAATTCAGGATTACTTATGTCTAAGACGACGAGCTATTGCACCTTAGTCCTAGGCTGAAGAGCAGGCGCCATTTTCAGGCGAGCATATGAGGCTGAGAGGAAAGCACTAGAGGGGGTTTGAAGAGAGGCGAAACTTAAGCAAGTCGGGAGGAGCGGGATAAAAAACAAAATATATCCGATTGTAGGCGTCTCGCCTTGCGCGCATTTTCATCCGCTCGCCTGAAATACGAAAAAAATAAAATTGGCGCCTGTTCCGCCACAGGATAGTACGACGTTGACCTCAGGAGCCACGTCTAGTATATTTAGACTGATAAAGAAGCGTCGTCTGTGCTCTGATCTGCTGTTAATCACGCAGGAAGCGGCTAGAGATCGAATCGGTTTGATTGAAGTAAAAATGGTTAAGTCGACTGTATGCCCCAGTCTGTATTGATACATTTTCTAGGGGTTAATCCTTAATCTTCCATGACTTATGGATTTTCAGTTCCATGTCAAATGAGGTGAAGGGCGAGGAGCGGTCAATGGTATCGTTTACAGAATATTGAAAAGCCGTTGTTGGTATTTGCTTCGTGTATATGAAGCTCACTGGAAACAATGACGGCTAAGTCACTATTGCAAATCATTAAATTTGTTTGTTCTTAACATTTGTCCATTCGATTTGCCTTTGCTCTTAGGTATGCCCCTAGAAAGTTTATTAGGTGTAGATCGCTTAAGTAATCATGCACCTCCTTAATAATTAAGCTTTTAACACCACTTAACTTTGACATTATCTCCTTGGCTCTAATGTTCCGCTTCCCTCTCTATTTCTCTTCAATTAGAACAAATACATGCTTGAAAAAATCTTTCCATCGGGCTATGCGTCAGTTGGATGGAGTAATAGAGCTGATTGTCGTGGGTGGATTAGCACTAATTTTTAAATCTTAACTGCGCCAAAGGTCTCGACTATCATGCGCGCGCGCCAGTTTGCCGAATAAAGTCTACAAGATATTGAAATAATTCTGTGACCCCAGAGATAGGCTATCTTGCGAGTGAACTAAAAATTATCAGATATGCGAAGAGAAATGAATCGTAACCGATATAGAGACACCAAAATTTATTTGAAATGACGCCAACGGCTCTTTTATGTCACCGCCATTGCATGAATTTGGGCACTATGAAAAGTGAGAGTCGTTGGCGGTTTTTTCTTTCAGACTTCATTAAGCCATTACGGAACTCATCACAAAAAGCCGAAACATCAGCTCGTTAAAATGAGCGTATTTGCGGAAATATGTGTCCAAAGTCGGTTTTCCAGACATTACAAAATACAAAATAATATTTCGACAAGGAATGTGGAATATATTGCACCGCACAAACTCCAATGAATAATAAATCTCTTGTTAAATGTTTATTGATTCATGATAGAAACATGACTGTAAAAATGTATTACGTCTGTGATGACTTGAAATATAAACTTCGTTGTACGTCTTGAATATTTCATAAAAATAAAGCATCTTTGTAAACTATTTACAAGAAACGAATCATACTTTCATTCATTTCAAATAATTTGCTATGAGCTTTCTTTCTCCTACAAATAACACTAGTTTTATTAACTCGAGTAACAAGCCTACTCAAAAATAATTATTTTGCTCTTTTTTTTTCTTTAAATCGTTACCTATCGCATTAATTATCGTTCTTCCCACTTCCTGAGGAAGCCGAAAGAAAAAACAGCAACCAATTCCGAAAAAAACAGTCCTCAATCTAAACTCTAAGTGGCAACGAAAGTTCCAAAGTCATCGATGTGCAGAAAAACACAAATAAACTGCAATCTTTTCGCGCGATATTTTTTAACGACGTTCTTGACTAGCTTTTCTTGCAAGGCACTGGTTTCATTTCATCTCAGTCCTCTTTAGACAACCCGTTTACACTTTATCTAAATTCTGCTCAGCTTATCTTAGTTCCAAACTCCAACCCAAAGCCGTCTTACATCACGTTTAGTCACAGATCTAGCAGGTAGTACGCGGTTAATTCTGCAAAGCCACAGCGTTTCGAAGTCTCCTCTGGAAGTCTTGATACAAGATATTTCCTCCCTCCGGAACTCTGTACAGAAACATATCCATAGTCATGAGACATAGAGCTTTACCGTTCATTTGGAATCGCTCGGGATTAATGCTTCCAAGATGAAACATTTCAGAAGTCCATTGGAGCCAGCGTGTTACATCTTCGCGACTCCACCTTCTTGGATCAACTGAAATAAAAAGAAAACAAAAGGATAAACATTAAATTGAAATATTCAAGACTAAATAAAGAAATGAATAGGAAAAAAAAGATAGAATACAAAAATTAATAAATAAATAGACATGTACGAATTAAATACATAGAAAAGTGGGGAAAGAGTGAGAAAATGAGAGAAAAGAGACGGAAGCGTTGTAAACCCATTCTGCTATGAATTTCAAATCTCTTCTAGCATGTTCATATCAATACCAGAAGCATCTAGTTCAACACAGGAGGTTTAAATAGGACCCTGAAACACTGAATATCTATCTTTTTTTTAAATCTCCGACTTTAGCAACATTTACAGGCGACAATTAAGACAAGCTCTATTTCGTAACATCCAACTCTGTTCATGTAAGAATACCGGTTGTAGCTTCACATCAGGTCACAAAAGTCACCTTTGGCAAAATACATGAAAGAACACCACACTAAGGATTTTTACCCAATGTGTAAGTTGAAAAATTACAAACGGAGGATTGAACAAGTTTACCTATCTCAATAAACGCACTATAAAAGCCCGCGATGACTCAGTTTTCATACAGCCCCTTAATAATGATAAAATTAATTTTCAATTATCTACGACTGAGCAAGAATCATACATTAGGGAAAAAAAAAAAAACAACGACAGAAAAAAAAAACACTCGTGCCCAAATTATATCTAAAGTATTTCGTCATACTCTCTTCTCGGGGGATAATTACAACTAACAAAAATCTATTTTCGATACGGAACTTTTAATGCGTTGCGGAATTGCGTAAATGCTAAAAGACCATTCGATTTCCCTGTTGCAACAGTTGACGTTTTGGTTTTATTCATTTCTATTTATAATAATATTCATGAAAATAGATGGCTCAGCCTAAGCATGACGTTAGCTTTGAGGCAACCAATTGTTTCGTTAACAAGGCAACCGACACAATTGAATAATCCCTGAATGCTGTCACGTTCCATTTTGCTTAAATCATTCTTCTTACAATCGCCGTTGTTTCCTGTGTTTTAAGCCTAGTGATACTAGCTGGTTTCTTTTGGTTTTTGTATATGGATAGATTGTCTTAATTTTCATTCTTACGACATTTGAGGGAATCAAAATTTTCGTCCTCAATCAGTCATGAAACATGTAAATATACGATGAATAACAACTACATGAAGACTGCCCTAAAATCCCTGCTGAGTGGTAGAATTGTACAATTATGAACTATATTGGCTAAAGGCAAAACCGAGAAACTGAATTAATTGCTATCGCCTTAAGATTTTTTAACGCTTTAGTTAAAATTTTTGCATTAACTGTGAACAAGAGATATTTGGTATCCTGAGTTAAAAGTTGATTTAGGGATTACAACGAAAGTACAAAACCTGCGTTCATTCTAACTGCTGTAAACATCATACTTAAACTCGCTTCGAAAAGAGTTTTTCGGTTCAGTTCTTAACTATCGACCCTTACTACCTACCTTCGCTTAAAGGTTCCTCCGGGAACGCCATCTCGTACTTTTCTTGCTTCACTCTCGCCATACTGGGTTGCATTTTATCGATGAATCGTGCGTGCTGAAAAACACTTGGCCTCAAAGGAACGGGATAAGCTAAAGCTGGATCCAACCTAGGAAAAACGCAAGCCATGAATTTCTCTGGAAATCTTCTTGAATTCCTTGCTGAGGTTTCACTTCTGCCACGACACGTACAACTATGAAATAGCGTGATGTTCGGCTTATAAGTTATTTGATGTAATCGGAAGAGTTCAATTGCTCATTTCCTGTTGAGCTTGTTTGTATTCTTTGCACGAATCGTGCCTACAAATATTTCGGAAGTTGTCACGGCTTCTTCTGGAATTCATCCATAAAAGCTCATACTTCTACAGTGTGATATACAAGTAAAAAAATCCCCTAAGTTCTTGATTTCTTTGTTGGACAAAGAGTTTTGAGCGAGAAGGAACTACTTTCGCTTATTTTCATTCAGTCACACCTCAATAACGCCCACAGAAAAACATGGGGAAATTTCTGGATAAAATTTGGCAAAAAATAAATCAATTTTAAACCCATGAAGCAATATTTGTAAATATATATATATATATATTTATAGACTGACCATTAACAACCTCGGAATTCCGGAATTACCCCAAACGGACGGAACTATGTAATATTTTTGGCCCTTAAAAGGAGTAGAACTACGAACTAGTATACCTCGGAAGTGGCATTCTGTCAGAGGTTGAAAAAAAATGATCCTTCCAAGCGCACAAACTCGCTTATTGACAATCAGCTGGTTTATCAACCCCGGCTTGTTTCAAATGATGAAGAAAACAAATGTGCACCAAAATCGCTTTAAGCCCGTTTCAACAGGAATGTGTCACGTAATTGAAGCTTTTCTGACGTAAAATATCCTTATAATGCTAAGAGGGTTACTGGAATCCACTCGCAAATAAATGAGAAATGTTATGTGTAAGCTTCTTTGGAAAGCTCACTATGAACAATACAGAGAGAGAGCATTAAAAATCATCTTTGAATATCGACAAAAATATTGTACGATTAGACTAAGTTTTTTTCTCCAAAAAGCATTGTAAGTAGAGGAATACTTTTTTATACGTGACTTGGCACGACTCCCACAATGACCGTGCAAATAGGTAAGTATTTTATTTTGTTTTGCACCCCATGAACAAACATGGAACTCGAGGGCAACCATGCTCAAAATATTCAAGACGTGATGAAATGCAAAGGTGATACAGGAAAGGATAATGTTATTAAGAAATTAGCAGAAACAAAAGCTTGTTCCTATTGTGGTTCCCATTGCGTAACGGGTGAGATGGAAGTTAAAACATTACGTGCCTATGAACTGCAAGCTTTAATTTATAGGTGTAAATGAGATAATATTCCAAACTCTGCCTGATCTGTGCATTCCTACAACACTCTCGGCTTGAAGTAAACCTAATCGTTGCGACCTCTGAGTAATCTTACTACAAAACCTGTATATGCTATTTTTAACATACTCATTTTTTTTAAGTTTAAGTAGATGTGTTTGATGAGAAAATCTTTCAAGTTTTCTTGTTTAAAAGAGGCAAAATATTGGTTCAAATACTCTGTAGCTTCAAATGCAGTTCATTTTGCAATTTTGCAAATCAATTCCGTACGCTGCGTTGAAAACACAGCGAGCAAAGCCAACTGAGGTCTAATTCAAAGGTTTTTTTAATCTCAATTTTCTATTAATTTTTGTAAAGTGAAAACTTGAAAAGGCTCAACTTTGATAAAAAGAATTCTCAAGATTCAGTAAGAGGCTTCTTGAAGGGTCTTCCGGTGCTTTTGATAGCATACCTTTTTATCAGTAATCAACATGTCTCACTCTCAGAGCATATTGCCCATTTCTGTCAGGAAAATTCGATACCTGATAGATTACATGTTGTTTTCAAACTTCGAAGTGCACTCCCGACCCAACCCACACCCGTTTTAAGCATTCCTCAAATTCTTTACGTCTTTCCTTGCCTCATTACAAGATTTTCCAATTTCTTTTCCAGCTCGTTAATTTCTTTATTTCGTCCGTACAAAAACCCCGGCAATTAGCAGTAAAAAGTCTGACGGACTTGAAAACATGTCATTTCGATTACAATAAAGATATTTCAATTTCCACGAAAAACCCAAAAACTTCCCCTTTTGAGACCTTAGGATAATGCCTGCTTACAGCCAAAACAAAAGTTGCAGCTTAGTCATTTTCTCCTTCTTTGTTTTCTTTCTTACAACCGGAAAACCATATCAGAAAAACGCAATATTGTAATTTAGGACACCTTTACGTATTTCCAAACAGGAAATTCGTAGACCCTTCCTCTTAGACACTCTCTTGACTTTTTCGGAACATGCAGTATTTGTTATTATTATTTTTCACTCATTTTCAAAAAGGCAAATGGTGCAACGGTACTTTCAAGCTGAAAGCTAAAACATTGTTAAACAGTCAAATTTTTCTGCAACGGAAGGTCCTGGGTTTGATTTTCTACGAGTAGTTCGGTGTCTGCTGAAGAATCAGTTAAAATCGGTTCAAATAATTTTCCAGTTGACTAATATCGGCTAATGAACGAAGTAAGGCGAACAAAATATTTCAACGTCAAACTATTCGAACAATACACAACCTGGCCCTTCAAAAGTGAAATGAAAGAAAAAAAGTCGCACTTTACAGCAGATTTAAATTCTAAGCAGATATTCTCTCTATTGGATTTGACTTATTTTTGAAAGCGGATTTCTCGGTTTATCACGGCCAGTTTAAAAATAAAATGAACAAATAATTAGTAATGGGTGAAATGCAAGAGTGATTTTATAGAGAAGTCGTCTGGTTAAACATCGGCCCTACTCAGTGAACTTACCTTAAAAGATTTTTGAAGAAATTTAGCCCAGGAAAGTCGTGTGTAACAAAGGGAAGTTCCTGGAAAGATCGCGTAGATTCGCTGACGAATGGATTATCTCGTTCTCGAAGTAGTGATCTTAAGTGACTGTTTAAAGCGTCGGTGCTAGCGGTTCTTCTCCTAGCCTCAAACCGGTGATAATAACAGATACAACATAAACCTTTCGAATCAAAAACGCAAACCTAGGAAATGACCACGCTCGTTGAACGGATTTCGCAAAAACGCAAGAAAGCAGTGGAGCGGAAGCAGTGGTCTGACATGGAGGCTAAATTTGGCCACAAAGCTGACATTTGAACAATTATTTTTAAGAATCGCTTTGACGGTTTCGAATGAGTTTCGCGATGGACGCACGTATTATACATAACCTAAATCGCGGGGAAATATATATTAAATTTAAAACAGCCATTTGAAATAATGATGAGGTAGGCTTCTGAACATAGGATCATTCGGGCAAAAATAAAATGTAAAAAAAAATTACCTGGAGTTTGATTTGTTGTGCTCACTTGCATCGATTTGGTACGGGTACATCTCTGTTCGTGGGTTGTATGGCCAAACGCGGGGTTCGTGAGTGAGTGGCAGACCCTCTAACCTGGATCTGTTCTCTGCGCAGTTTATAGAAGTCTGTTGACTATCTCTAGAGGAGTACATGCTACCGGCTCTCTACGCTCGTAGTGCTTGATATTTCCGCTCTACGCCCACGAAATGCTGTAACCACAAGATACAAAAATGAAAGGAGACAGGAATTAGCAACGGCTATTGTGGGGTGCTTTGATCTCACAGTGACCTCTTCACCACAGACCGGAAATTACGCGGCGGGAAAATTGTCCACTTTGTCACCTCGGTCAAAGTTGCAAAATCAGCGCTGTCGGCTTGTCTTTGGCTGTGAAACAAAGCCATCTGCGTTGGAATATTGAATTGGTCCATACTAGAAACGAGCAATGGTTTAAACTTGTTCACTAAAATGAGTTTAAGCGAAAATTCCTGCACGTGACGCTGTATCACCGCAAGCTTACGGAAATTAACCGGAAACGGAAACATGACGTTATCTGTTATTGGCGGCCGGAAATGGGAACAAAGAGCATCACTCGACATTACGGCGTGGGTTCGCATTCTGTTGACAAAAGACACAAAAGGCGCTTTCAAAACTGCAAACAATTCTGTATTTAGTGACAGAAGCTCAGCGAACCTTCTCTCTTTACATAAACGCTGTTAAATACGACAAGAATGAAAAATTAATTAATCATAGTGTTATCTCTGGAAATTACTGATTTCCGGCGCGCGACAATAACGGCCAATGACAATGCCAAAATTACACTGTGGTTTTGTACCGGAAATTCCTTCGGCGTATGGTTTTTTCCCGGGGGACTGATTGTTTTTCAAAAAACGCTTCTTTGCAGAGTATCTGCATAATCTCCTGAGTAAAGGGATCTTAAATCTTGACTGACAGATTTCTAATGATCCCAGGTTTAAAATTGGCGATTCCCGCGAGTTCGATTTGTTGAGCTCCGAATTTGTTTGTTTCTGCCGAGTGTCAAATATATCTGTACTCCCTTTTCTTGCGAGATCAAATTAAAGCTTGAGTAATCTAAACAAAAATATCTTTTAGAGTCAGATGACAGTATCAACGACTTATAGATGGCTATTTTTTGCTTCTCGGCATTTCGAGATTTCATCTTAAAAGGCCACTCGACACTTGTGTTAGCCTCTTCCTGTTAATTTTCCTTGCGGTTCCTGTGGAAAGGGCAGCTGCCCTGGAATTAAAGAATGACAAATGAATTCTTGAAAACGTCCTGTCGCCCGTCAAAATTCCTTCCTCTGCGCAGTCCTAATTTGTACTTTATTTGCATAGTGTTTTGGGGTTTAGCATTACCCAAATAAATATTTGCGAACGTTTGTTGGGATTCGCATATTTTGCGCTCTTCACTTCATTTATCATAAGAAAAGAAAACTTCCTATTCAACTTACAATATTTCGGAACCGCAGGACAAAACAACTACCAAAACTCTCTATATTTAGATTACGCACAGAGAAGATTAACCATCGATTATGAATTTTTTTTGTCAGGGCTCCCGATGTGATTATCAGACTCCATGTGGACAATTATCCCACAGTAAGCTCGCACTAAGGGACCAGGTGTGCATTTGCTTTTCATACCTTTCAGTCTTGAAAGGGGAATACGCTTTTAGCTCAGCGATTATTTTCTGCCAAAGAAGGTCAAAGACCAAAAAAATTTTGAAATTCGTTTTGTTTAAGAAATAGTTTTTCAAATGAACGTCCCTTGTTCAATTTGTCTTTCAAACTGATTGGTTCAGTCCTTAAAAAATTCTGTATAAGGTATATAGGTAGCTTCGGTTTTCTTTGTTGTAAACAGGGTCTCGCCTTCAAGTCCTCAGTGACAAAAGGACACTAAAAATATTGAATGATTCCCCCTCCCTCCCCTCCCCCACAACGATTGATATTAGAGTGTGTCTTAAGTTAAAATATTTCTGGTGAATCTCAAAGGCGCTCAGTTCGCACACGACGCTTTCATAGAGCGAACGCCTAACAATTGAAAGAAGAATATAGGATGGAGACTATTTTTTAGTTACTTCTTCGGCACTATCGTCTTTCACTTTAGATCACCCGAAGCTAAGGAACAGACACCAAAAAAAACAAAAGAAAAGAAAAAAAAACACCGAAACAAAAAACGATACAATTTAGTGAAAAGGACAACCCATTCTCATCGATCGGTCGCCGAGCGCTTGCAATTTTTAAATGAACCATAAGCGCACCACTCTCGCTAAATCTGACAACTGGAAAAGAAACGTCGTCTAGCCTTTCAAGTTGACTGTAATACTTTGTATGATTGCAAAGTCTGCACATGTTTGCTTGGGAACACCTTGACAATATTTTCTATAGTGTCAAACCAAAGCGGAAACCATTAATACCAGGCGGATGTTTGAAAATCACGCTACACACAAGGTCACTGTAGGAGGTAAGTCTAGACTCCTTACACCTATCTGCAACTTCAAAAAACAACCTACCCTCTCGAAACAAAATCAAGGGCATATTTCAGCGCAGTGACGATTTCTGCAAAGCAGGTAAAGAAATTTGAGGGTGTTTATTTCAAGTGTGGAGTGTACTTCCCGGAAAACAGGTCCAGAGGACAGAGAATTGCTTAGCCCGACGGCGATGGAGTGTTTCTGACTGGAACGAATTTCGGTTAGTCGGGGAAATCATACGTTTATATCGGCTTTCTGATGACACGCCAATTTTGCGTTCAACCTGGAGTCTCACGCAGAGATGAAATCATACGATCGCGACAAACAAATTTTTATCGCACCAAGGGTAAACACATGACACACCTGTAGATGGGCGTATTCACACTAACGAGATCTAGGATTGAAACATGCAACGAGTTTATTCTGAGTTCTGAAAGTGAAGACTGCCATGTCAAAGATACGAACTAACTCTCATTGTACATTGCAGACTATAAATATCGTTAACTGCTTTCACCCTTCCACGCCCAGGAATGACCAAGACATGATTTCTCTTTCCAATATCAATACAATATCAAGCCGTAAGGTGATGAGAATCATAAGGAAATATAACGCTTGGGGTATTATTATGAGATCCAAGGCCAAATGCTCGAAAATAACGTTGCATGAGGCAGACAGTAAGGAGAGTTACTATTTGGATCTTGAGTGTGAAATAGGACAGAATGGAACGTACATCTTACTCGATTGCCATTCACAAATGTGCAAAAATTTTTTCATGACTTTTTCCTAATAATGAGCTACTTTTAAACCGGAGAAAAGCATTTTAATCACCAGCTTGGCTGTTTGTTTGTGATTATACCACCTCTGTTCAGTCTAGAACGTTCTTAGTTTTTTTTATGACACGGACGAGATAGGGAAGTATCGTTATAATGAGGTTGACTAACTCCCATTTAGCATTATGGGTCGACTGGTTCTAGCGCCACACTGGACAAGCCATCTTTAAAAGCTTTCCGAATTTTTTTTAAATCCACTTTAGTTACGCAATTGACAGCATGGTCCTCCATTTATTGTAACAGAAAACAAACAAACAAACAGCCAAGAGGTTAACTAAAAAAGGCAAAACAGAACAGTTCCATTTCTGCAGCAAGCAAGTCAAAAGAAGACGGAACCAAACATTTTTCTTTTTTTCAGTGCGGTCACCGTGAATCATCAAAAACCATCGAACCCATCAACCAGATTAAAACGGAGCCTTTTTTGCAATTAGGAATTACATTTGTTTTGTTTTCCTTTTTATCAAACCGGAGAAAAGAACATGACCAGTTCATTCAATTGAAATGTAACATTTCCTTTTATGTGGATGGGCATACAACTCCAACTTCCTCTTCTTACTTACTTGCCCGGAGAAACCCCATCTAAACAAAAGCTCCTACGTTAACTTCAGTAAAAAGAGAGTCTCCATTTGGGCGGTGCCAGATGCAAACGGTAAGATGACTTTCAAGAAAGAAACTAAGTCAAACACCCCTTTACATTCTCCTTCAGTCCGGATCTCAAGGTAAGGCATGCAATGGTAACAAGTAATTCACTTACACTAAAACTATGGGCATGTTAAGCGGTTTTAAGTTTGCAACTGCAAATGATAGTGAGCAATAAGAAGAGCTGCTCAGCGAAAGGTGGTACTTTCTAGCTGGTGGTTGGGACAGGCAGTATTCACTGAACGGATTTCCGGGTCTTCACGCTATGGTTTCCTTGCTGAAGGAAAGTTTTATATCTCCTTCACACGCTGAAAATACACCGAGGCTAAAATATTGTTGGTAAGACAACGGAGTAAAATTTTTTGCGCTTGCTTTCTCAAGATCGTGCGGGAATTCAATGTACTTGGCTCGAATATATTCAATGTTTCTCGGTGTTTCTAACGGAAATTTCCGTTCAGTCACGAGAGCAAGTTCTTCCGTATGTAGCTGATATATGAGCGCACGATCTTGTTACTCGTTTGAAAGAGCCGCCGCTGTATTTGGCCTTAACTAAAGGGCCTACAGTCCACTTGCTAATTTGTGTCGTGGAGGGGAGATCGTGGCATCTGCAACACCATAAACCACGACTATCAGAATTGTCCATTTCCTATTATAAGGCATGCATGTTTTACGCGGTGCAAGTTACAAGACAGAATTCACATTTTACCAGTTGTGGTTTGCTTGTTAATACTCCATCGAAAATTACAAACAACTATGAAATTACAACCGAATGATTCATTGGGAAAGTTCAGCTTTAAAGAGTCTTAACTTTCAGTTGGAGTAGCTCTTAGGCTAGCCTGAAAAAGCTAGCAATCACAATTACATCATTGCTTAACCTTACCTGTAACAAGACAAGATCAGAATCCGCCTTCCTTTCTCTCAGCAGTCGGGTTTTCAAGCTAGTTTTTTAATCCTCGATTCAGTCTCCAAGATTCACCGTTGAGCTGCTAATGTTAGAGTGCTTTCTATGAAAGGAGAGTGATGTATGAGCCTGCGTATGTGTAATCATCCGGTTAGTCAGCATCGATCACCATGGTTACCACAGGTTGTGTAGTACGACCGGCACGTACTAATACATTTTGTTTGGTTTTCCACAAGAACGTTTATAATTCAGAGCCTAAGATACGCCAGACTTGCAGGATTGAGCAAACACATTTTAACACTTCTATGCCTCCTTTGGGCACTGATATCAAGTACTTTTCGACCTCCATGAAACATTTCTTTGTTCTCTTTTCACTGCCCCTCAAGTCTTTCCTTTGGACCGACATGACGTATTCATGAGTCACCTGACCGGTGATACGCAATTTAAAAGTGCGTCAACCAAGAGTTACTGAAGCGAATTTCCTTTCATAAAAATAGAAGCCCAAACAGGAAATTCGAGGTGAGCTATTGAATGTAACCTTCACATGTACATGTTAAAACGATCTAATGAATATTTCAAATTTAAATTTAGCTAAAGAGAACTTGCAATTTATTTAGATAAGGGGCCTCCAGTGAATTTTGTTCCTTACTCGTCGGTGTAGCGTGATGTGAAAGCATTTTATGATTACAACCAGGGGACGAAAATCAGCTTGCGTGGAAGGCGTGGCTCCATGTTTTTTAAACAGAGTTGAAGTCCGTGACTTTGGGGAGTGACTCCGGTCGAATGAAAGCTTAGAGAAGAGGAGAAAGAGTACCACGAGTGAGAGAACACAAGCATGCTATGTTCAATAAATGTAGAGGACTACAGAAGTCTGAAAGATATTCCATGTCGCATATTTCAAGGTCATTGACACGCTTCTATTCCGCATTTTTCTCCCATTTTTGAATCCCTGAGAAATAGGTGTTAAGCGAACAGCTCAAAGTAAAAATAAATGGTTTGGAATCAAAGCTTTACTACACCCTCACCCACAATGAAAGAGTGAGAACAACGAGTTCATAGTCTTGTATAAACACTCGATTTAAATGTAACATTGTTACAGATTCTATCACAAAGCCGATTCTCATCTACACCTTTATAAGGTATGCACAAGAGCAGCTTACCAGTACGTCTTAACTTTTATAAGTCCCCTACTTCCGAGAGATCTTAAATGCGAGCTAAACTGTGATGCGAAACCATCGTAATTTTATATCCTTCTCTCCGCTACTCTACAACTCTTTACGTTTCATAGAAAACTGCCGGGGAAATAAAAAACACACACATATACTGACGCACACTCACAAGAGGAGTAGGAACCGGTAAAAAGACGGATCGAGAATGGTTACGGATCATGCAGGAGATTGATACGGATAGTAAAGGAAGGGATTAAAGAACGCAGGTTAAGCGTTTTAAGATGCAAGTACCGTGGCTGAGATCCTCATAATACACCCTTTAATTAAGGGCCAATACAGCGGCAACCCTTTCAAACGAGCAACAAGAACGTGCGCTCATATATCAGCCACATACGGAAGAACTTGCTCACGCGATTCAACGGAAATTTCGGTTACATCACAAAACAAAACTTGGAAGTGTAAATCTTAAACCAAAATTGCCGAAAGAAAATACGCGCGTCGAAGGTCGAACTGCACTTGATCAAGGAATTATTCAATCGAACAATCGAATAATGGTCTTTCATTTATTTGGTGTTATTTTTAGTCAGAGCAAACTACTTTGGACCCAAGAAAAACCGCAATAAGATACGAGAAAGTGAGATATTGATTAGCGGTTGCATAATTGTTGCATTGATTTTCAAAGGAATGTCAATGATCTTTCTTTTTGAGCTGCCTAACGTTTCCACACATAACTCGATCTTTAGTCATCCATGAATCATTTTGTTGGCATGAAAATGTATATTAAATGTAAGGTTGTCAATTTTTCAATTTGACCTTAAATCCTGAAAAATAAGTGATTCTTGGCTAAAATCCGGCGGCTTCCTGTTTTGACGCAAAGTTCCTTGAAGGTCCTCTCTCACAACCGGCCTGAAGGGTATGGTTTAGTGAAAATATTTGACGCTAGCAGAAAAGTTATCGTTTTGAAATTTCAAAAACCGGCATAAATAAAAACGCTCGAGGAGGACGAACTTGAGAGCTGTGATTTCTGCTTGTCCGACGGTTTGACGCGAACGACGTGCTAAAGATTCGTTAGTGGTTGATAACACTGAATTTGCGAGCTCTTTTGCTTCAGTTCACTTGAGGAAGCAATGCGGAACTATTTTGAAGCGATGCATCTAAATTTTATTTCAAAATGACGATAAAGTTTAACGAACATTAAAAATAAACTCCAGCCTGGGGCGAAAGCAAAACCCTTAAAAAAACCACCACAAGAGGTCTGAAGTTAAGCTTTATTTTTCGTCTCTCACTTGAATGGTAAAAGTGTGTCCTCTTCCATTTTCAGGGAATTAAAATACCAATATCCACAGCAGATATTTCTTGTACAAAAAAATGCCAAATGATGACAGAGTTTCAAAAATATGCTAAGTATTCTCGTTTTCAAGTTGTTGGCCTGCCGGAGTATGTCACCGTTGCTATTTTAAAAGGCAACCTCAAGATGAAATTTTACAACGGTCAAAAAAATTCCTAAGAAACTTGTCCATGTTTTCTAAACAGGTTCTATGGTGTATATTTGAAAACCAGATTCACAAACCGAAGTGTGAAGACCTATTGATTACAACCTCCGCGTAAGAGTTAGCCGCAACTGTGAAAATGGCTAAATAATACCCATAAAACTGATTTGATTTTTTTCAAACGGAAAGAAGTCGAATATAATTATACAATGAAAAAGAAAGTAACGGCCTTCCTGATTTAGATGATGAGGTTACAAGTATTTGGCAATGCAGTGTGCCTTTTATCTCTACGTAGATTTACGCTATTTGATGTCGGTTAGAACCGGCTTGGAGGTCTTTCAATGGCGAGTACGTGCACTGTGCTTTTGACAAAGTATGAGCACATGGTCAAACTAGCTCTAAAATCCATCCAAACATGAACTGGTTTATTCGAAAGCGACATACTAACCTTGAATCAAACCTACTAATCCTACTGTTACTTGTTCGCAAAATTTAGTCATCAGCACGTTTCATGGCCGGGATGCAGTTCTCTACAAAGGGTTTGCTCGAAATCAAATATCGCGTTAGTAGCTTTCGAAAGTCGTCTATCGGTTCATGAGTATCACAACATCCATTCAGAAGATGTTGCCAAAAACTTCATTGTCTGGGTTGCCTGTGGCATTTCCTTTTTTCATGAGCCATTACACGCATCAAATTCTATGTTAGAAAAAGAAGAACGTGACTATCTTAAGGGCGGTGTCTGTTTGCTTTGTAATGAGTGCGGATATCCGCACGGGTGCCCAACCGGAATCTCTTGTCTGACATAAGAGTCATTTGTGCTATTAGCTTTGATGTACATCGATACAGGAGAGTAAAGGCTTCTATACGATATCTGAAAACAATAGTTATATCACGGATCTTAATCAACAAATCCAGTAAAATTTCGAAACACAATTCTGCTTTTGTTTAACGAATTGGAAGCTCCTTAAATTCCAACCGTGTAGAAGTAAAAAGTCAAATTCATTTACATTCGCGAATCAGGCCGATTGAAGAAGGAAGAGCTAACAGGTCGAAACAGGTATGACAGAATTAAGCATCTTCCGAGCTCCTGGCTCTCGCTAACATGAAATGAACTGCTCTTCATCTCGGAGACAAAAGTCAAGTACGCAATGAAACTTTGCACTCCCATCCAAGATCTAAATATAAATTGTCTGCATTATCTGCCATGAGGTTATTTCTTATCATTTGGCGTATGGTCGGTATTTTCCTTTTGTCTCATTCAACTTTCTGCGCAAACATGTCTTATTATTCTGAGAGGAAATTACTTCTTGGACACTGCTGGAAGCACGACGGTTATGGTTTCATGGATGTGGAAATGGGAAACATTTCTGTATCCTACATTAAAACGCAAAACGGCCCAAAAATTGGGAAGAGAGTTCTAAAGAAAACGTCTTGGAAGTGGTTGCTTGACAAAACAAGTCCGAGAATTCATAAACAGGAAATCAGAGATAATTGTATCAAGTACTTTGACCTGCTTTACGAACGAAAGAAACCCATTACGAACGAAGCATAACTAACAAAGGCGAGGTCATTAATCTTTCCTTTTGCTTTGGTCCAACACAAGAGGGTTTTAAGTCCTCCATATTTTTGTGAAAAAAAAAACATCAATAATTGGATCTCTGAAGTACTGATAAAGCACCTCTAACAGTGAACAACTGAAATTCGACCCAGCTTGAATGCATGATCCAAGGACATTCCGAGTCTTCTTTCTACACAGCACATTCTTTTCAAAAAATTACTAGAAATACAAAATAAATAATCAAAATACCTACAAGGACCAAAGATGTTTAAGGGGGAAAATGAATAAAATAGCCCTCCCAAAAATAAAAAGATGACCACGAAAAACTTGAATAAAATTTGACGACATGCTCTAAGATTGTAGCTGTAGTAAGGTTTCATGGCCGAGAGATCAAATGCCACTAACATTCAATATCAATAAAACTACAGAGCCGTAGTAACAATGCAATTTTTTAAGTGCCGGGTTTTCCTTCGTCAACACTTCAATAAAGCACTTCGAAACCTCCCAGCACACATCGCCGTGGGGCAAAGGAAATCCGTTAGCTGTCTGCAGGACGGCTGTATTACAAGCCCACCTAATGAAGAAAAAGTTGTCGACCTGTCTCCGAGGGTTATCATCAACGAGCACAATAAGTGGTGCTTCAAATTTCCCGCTTGCTCTTTCAGTCTAGACGGATAGAGGCGAAGAAGACTCAGGTACAGGCAACTGTATTTAGGCGGGATTACGACTGGGGCAGATAAACACGTTTTTCGTACAACCCACCTTTTTGAAACAAGGTGTCGCATTTCAGGAGAAAATTGACTTGCACCGAGCGAATTATCGATCTCTTATGATGGATTCGGTTGTTGGAAGACCATCGCAACACACCCCGAATTGACAAACCGACGAAAGTTTAAAAAGGCTGCATCCGTGAATAATACTCTTGCACTTATTGTGACTGTTTATGGTACTGATTTTCCACGACATGCTTCGTAAAAGCATTTCCTGACTTTCCACGACTCTTTACGAGTAACAAGAGCCGAGCCACCGTATTCTGAGTGTTTTGTTTGGCGAAAAACAATGTTACCTTCATTTTGAAGGAAACAATATACAAAATATGAGTATACAAAGATAGCAGAGGAAGAAAAATTAGGAAAGACTGAGAAGATGAAATTTTGACAAAAAATGTCAAAATGTTTTCAAGATTCACAAACGTTTGAAATGAAATGAATCCTGAAGAAGGATCATGAACTAGATGATTTCCCTTATTGCCATTTTATTTCAACACAGGAAGCTATTTCAGCTATCTTAAAACGTAGAGGTCATTTCTAATAAATCACGTTTATAGTTTCTTTGGTCCTGTATCAGACTGGATGACAAAACCGAATTTCACACTTTGGCCTGGATTTTAATTTCCGCTGTGGCCCGATTTTTTTTGTTTCATTTGTGGGTGTTTTGTTATTGTCTGTGTTTTTTAAGGTAAAGCTGTCCTTTAAGTTTAACTATTTACTTTGTCCAAAATACATTTATGAAATAAAAAGCATACGAGATTCCAGTCCGTCACGACCGCAAGCCCCTCTGTCAGTGACTCATCTGTAGTTGTCTCAAACGAGTGGCGCACAATGTCCACTGGTCTGTCCACTGTCTCATGTTCATGTCATCCAACTTCACCCACGGTACAACAAACTGAGCTGGTTGCTCCCACCTACAGAGAACGTTAAAGCTGCGCTTACCAAACAAAGCCTACATAAGTTTATCAAGAATACTACAAAAATTAAACAGAATATTGGTATGGAACTGAGATATCAGTTGGCACGCTCGAGAATCATCTGTGATTGACGAAACTTAAGGCTTTAGTTAGACGCCCTCCCCTCCCTCCCAATAAAAAAGATCTTACTATGAGCTTACAACGTCCTCCCCCCCCCCCTCCTTCCCCAATAAAAATAAGATCTTACCATGAGCTTACAACGTCCTTGACAGAGATACAGTCTGACAAAGCTTTGGTGGTTTTGTTGAGCCCGTTCTGTATCAGTGGCATAATGTAATCAAGTTGTGCGCGGTCTTGTTCGGCAACTTCTCTCCTCAAGCCTGTCGAAGAATAGAGGAAGAATTTTAGTTCGGGCAGAGTAAGAAGCTAGTGGCAAGGTGATCGATATATGTAGCTGTGAGCTAAATAGAGAACGAATAATCTAACTGTTTTAGTATGAATCTATTGGTGACTCAACACCAAACCACAGGAGAGACTCATGTTTTGATTCATCTTGTTTGAAACTGCAATCATTAAGGTTACTTACTCTACTCAATATCTATCACGGAAGAGATAGCTGGTGTAATAACCAATCAGATTGCAACATCTGTGATACAACGCTTTTAGACTTATAGCAAAGAGTAATAGAGGAGAGTTTTTGGCTAAAAGTAAAGCAAAATGTTTCCAAAATGTAAAATCGCTGCACCAAAACAGAAACTAGCGCACCGTTGTAGGAGTGCTACCAAATAGTTTACTATCCATGCTCAGATCTCAGCTCTGGAAAACACCCAGGCTCCCTTCCTTCCCTGTACGCTGAATAATGATGACCACTACTTACCGTTCAAATGCACAACCATCCTATCACACGACCTGTCGCCGTTGACTTCAGAAAACATGCTATCACGTGATTGTGCCAGAATCTTAGCGTCGTCAACTTTGAAAAGATAAGAAACACACGAACGTCAAGAATCTACTGACGAACGGATTTTAATAACGACAAGAAAAAAGTTCCAATTCATAGCGAAAAGTTCTAGATACTGACCTTTCTCTTTCAGATTCATAGCTGTTGGAAGCAGTTCTTCTGGAGCCTGGATAGGAACAAACCGGAAGTGATTTTTACGTTTTGTCCTCCGCTCGTGACAAGACGAAAAACAGTTTTTCTCTATTCCACTAAGAAGCTACAAATTTACCATCTTTTTTAATTCATTTACTAATATGACGCTTTCCTTGCAGTATGCAAAATGCGTGTCACATATGGATCTAAAAATGGCCCATGAATAAAGGTGGTAAGTTTCTAAAGGAACTGTGATGCTGCTTCGATAGGGGTATAGGAAGATAATTTAGTTTTATCAAATGAGTTGAAAGTATAAACTGACCAACGTGAAGAGTTTCAAAAGCTGACGTTTTGAGCGTTAGCCCTTTGTCAGAAACATCAGCTTTAGAAACTCTTTTCAATGGCCAATTTACATTATAAACTCAGTTTATTAAACCAAATCATCCTAAACATGGCCTAACTTGCCAAAAAGTTCCCTGTAGCTCAATGGCAAAGCATTGGAGCACGGAATCTGAAGGTCTGAGGATTAATCATGGTTATGTCACAGGTTAGTTTATTTTTTCCACGCTTATGATCCCCCCTCCCCCCTCCCCCTC